ATGTTCTTAGAATACTGGAGGCCCTGCCATCAATCCCTGGCACCAAAAGGAAAGGGAAATAAGATATTTTTACTGAGCTCTCTTTCTCTTGAATTAGGTCACCAAACAGACACAAATATGCTGATATTTGGCAAAGCCCTGAAGTGTAAGACCATCACCCTCAAGGCTTAACCCGGTGACTTCATAGAGAATGTCAAGGCTGAGGTCTAAGACAAGGAAGGCATCCCACCTGACCAGCAGAGCTGGTGTTTGCTGCCAGCAGATAGAGCACAGTTGTACCCTGGCCAGCAGCAAGGTCCAGAAAGAGTCCCACTGGTCACTGGTGCTGTGCCTGTGTGGTGGCCTCATAGAGCCATCCCTTTGCCAATTTCTCCAGAAACACAACTGTGAAAAAGCCATGTACTGCTGCCCATAAGTGCTGCCCACACCTGCACCCCTGTGTGGTCAAATTCTTCAAGAAGAAGGGTAGCCACACCAACAACCTGTGCCCCAAGAAAGTCAAATGATGCTGGGACCTTGTTTGGCCCAGGACTCCTGGGAAACAATGAATATTTTTTGCTTGCAGGAGGACTAAGGAAAGTGATGATGCTAAGATTGGGCTAGTGACATGGACCAGTGAATGAGTGCTGCTGCCAACCTTCAGCCCTGACGCTGACCCACATTATGCAAAGAGAACCATGCCTTCTGTAGGTGTCCTCTGACCACCATGCATGTGCTGTGACACATGCGAATATACACACATGAAGGGAAAAGTAAGTGTAATTTATTATTATTATTAAATAAGTGTAATTTAAAGGAATAAGTGTAAATAATTAAACAAGTGTAATTTAAAGTTGTAATGGAAAGTACACACAGCAAAAAAGAACAAACAACCGGAAACAGTGGTACACATTTATAACCCAGCACTTGAGACTATGAGGAAGAGGATTATGAATTTTATTCCATGCAGATGTACACAGTGAACCCTTCACACAAATCTTCAAACATTTTGAATATGAAGCATTTTGCACAAAAAGTGAAATAAAGCAAACCCACATGTAAATTTGTATTTCACATGTGTAATATTCATACATGTATTTTTCATGTGTAATATTTATACAGTTTCATCCAGGTGGAACTGACAAAGATGAGGACAGAATGAGACAGACAATGATGGGACTGTGGAAATGTCATCCCTCAAAGAATTAATTGCAGAGTCTACTACCTATCATAGCCACAGCCTTGGGGAAGTCAGAGCCTGGGGCCTGAGGAGGGCACTTCCCCTTCCTGTGGGGCTGCTCCAGTACAACCATGTCATAGGGAGTGTCCAGCCTCCAGAGACCACACCCTGTGTCTCCCGTCCCTCTAGGCAGTCTCTGTAACTGCCCATGAGCAAAGTTGCAGCCTCCAGGAGGAGATGCCATGACCTTCACCTTCACAGCCCTGCTCTGTCTGGGTGAGATGTGGAGATAGGGAGGGGGTACTGTGGTCTAGGGTTGATGCTGCCCCACAGCCCAGCACTGTCCATCAGGAAACCCCAGGGTCTCAGGAGGTTCTGCAGAGGGGAGGACCTGCTCAACTTCAGGGACAAACCTCTCACAGGGAACTCTCTTCCAGGACTGACTCTGGGCCTGGGAACCCCAGTGCTGGCAGGTGAGTGAGTGTCTGCAGATGTCTGACCTTCACTTCTCATCATTCCTGCAGCCATGCCTGGGCAGTGAGGATGGAGAACAACATATGTGTGCTGAACCTGGGGATGGCTGGAGGGTTGGGGTTGGGGCCTGCAATTGGAGGATGGCTGTTCTGGATCATAGCTGCTCATTTTTTTTTTTTTTGCAGGGGCCCTCCCTAAGCCTATCCTCAGAGCACAACCAGACTCTGTAGTCTCTCAGCAGACTACCGTAATCTTCTTGTGTGAGGGGACCACAAGAGCCAAAGAGTACTATCTGTATAAAGATGGACACCAATATTTAAGGTGCACAGAGACTCCACAGAGTTGTAAGGACAAGGCTGAATTCTCAATCTCAAAAATAGACCATTACCATGCAAGGCAATATCGCTGTCGATATCAGACTGATGATGGATGGTCAGAGTATAGTGACTCCCTGGATCTGGTGGTGACAGGTGAGAGAACACACAGGGTCCCCAGCCTCAGGTTTGACTGTCAAGAGGTGGGTCTGTTCACAGCAATAGAGGATAAGGAGGCCTGATACATAACTGATTCCTCCTTCTCTCCTAGGACTCTACAGTAAACCCAGCCTGTCAGCCCAGCCCAGCCCTGTGGTGACTGAAGGAGGGACTGTCACCCTCCAGTGTGTCTCATGGCAGTCATATCACAGCTTCATTCTGATTAAGGAAGGACCTCAGAAGCGCTCCTGGATGCTGAACTCACAGTATAACTCCTATACTGGACAGTTCCAGGCCCTGTTCTATGTGGGCCCTGTGACCTCCAGAAAAAGGTGGACATTCAGATGTTACAGCTTTAACAGGAACAGACCACAGGAGTGGTCAGAACCTAGTGACCCCCTGGAGCTCCTGGTCTCAGGTGAGGAACCCCAGCCTTTCCCTAGAATGATGCTGAAATGATACAGATGCTCAGGGAGGGCTTAGTGTACGGTGTGTGTGAGGGGCCAGGACTCCTGAGCCCATGACACAGAGCATGGTAGAGAGTGGGACACAAGATACAGAATCCAAGGCAGAGAGTGACAGCAAAGCCCAGGAGGTCCAGGACAGAGACGAATCCTTATGGGGCCTTCTGTTACTCTGGATCAGCTCATGTGCCATCCACAACAGCTCGGGGAACCCCATAGAAGAGAGGGAGGAAGGGTTGCAGGAGCCAGAGCACTCAGGACATCAGGAGAACATGGACCACACAATCAACTAAGCAGGGATAATAAGGACTCACAGAGGCTAAAACAGCAAGCACAGAGCCAGCATGGGTCTGCCCTAGGGTCTCTGCACACATGCTCTGGTTGTTTACCTTGGGCTCTTTCTTGTTTTGTTTTGTTTTGTTTTTTAGAGTTTCACTGTGTAGCTCTGGCTGTCCTGGAATTCACTTGTAGACCAGGCTGGCCTTGAACTCACAGAGATCTGTAGCATCTGCCTACGGAGTACTGGGGTTAAAGACCTGCACCACCACTGCCTGGCTAGCTCTGGGTTTTTGTTAGACCCATAACAATGGAAGTGGGGATCTCTCTGACTCTTTTGCCTGCACGTGGGATATTTTTCTTCCTCCTGGGTTCCCTTGTCCAGTCTTAAAATGAGGGTGTGTGACTAGCCTTATTGCATGTTTGTCATGCCATGTTCAGATAATATCACTGGGAAACCTGATCTTTTCTGAAGGGAAACAGAGTAGTGGATCTAGGGGAGAAAGAAGGTGGGAGGCTGCTGTCAGAATACATTGTATGGATTCATTTAAAAGAAAAAAGTGCCATCTGCAAGTATGACTTTATCTGTGCCACTTTCAGACAGACCCACCTTCTTCTATTCAATTTTCTTCCAGGGACCCTCCACAAACCCACCATCAAGGCTGAGCCAGGCTCTGTAGTTTCTCTCAGAAGTGTTGTGACCATCTGGTGTCAGGGGACCCTGGATGCAGAAATATGTGTTCTGCATAAAGAGGGAAGCCAAAATCCCTTGGATACACAGACCCCAGAGAAGCCTGAGAACAAGGCCAAGTTCTCCATCCCTTCTGTGACACAGCAACATGGGGGACAATATTGCTGTTACTGTTACAGCTCAGCTGGCTGGTCAGAGCCCAGTGACACCCTGGAGATTGTGGTGATAGGTGAAGGTGAGGGTCTCAGGACCAGGCTCTGCTCTCAGGAGTATTCCCCTCCCACAGCCTAGCCCTGGATAGCATTCTGGCTGTGTGAGCCCATGAAACAGTCTGCCTCCTTCTCTCCTAGGAATCTACTACCATAATAAACCCAGCCTGTCTGTCCTGTCCAGCCCTGTGGTGACTTTAGGAAGGAATATGACCCTCCAGTGTGTCTCATGGGAGGGATATGAGAAGTTCATTCTCACCAAGGACGACCAGAAGTTTCTCAGCTCTCTGAACTCACAGTTTATACACAGTATTAGGCAGTGGCAAGCCTTGTTCTCTACAGATCATGTAACACAAGACCACAGCGGGACATTCAGATGTTACGGTTACTACAAGCATGCCCCACACTGGTGGTCAGTACCCAGTGAGCCCCTGGAAATACACGTCTCAGGTGAGTCAGCCCCACCACTGACCAATGTTTTTTTGACACCCTAAGCCCTTTGCCATGGACCTGTCCCACTGGATAGTTGTGGGTAGACAGTGGTAGAGGAAGAGCCTGGTGGCTGAGCCAGAGCCCCACTCCTGGGGAGAAGCAGTGACGTGTGTAAGGAAGGATGGGAGGGGATCAGTATTTGGTAAAAACCAGCTCCTCAATCACTAGCCTGACACTTTCCCTCTAGGTCTGTCCAAGAAGCCGTCCTTGCTGACTCACCAAGGCCAGATCCTGGACCCTGGGAAGAGCCTCACCCTGCAGTGTTGCTCTGACATCAACTATGACAGATTTGCTCTATACAAGTTAGGGGAAGCTGACGTCACCCAGAATGGTGGCCAATGGACCCAGAGTGGCCTCTCCTTGGCCAACTTCACACTGGGTCCTGTGAGCAGAACTACTGGAGGCCAATACAGATGCTATGGTGCACACAACCTCTCCTCTGAGTGGTCAGCCTCCAGTGACCCCCTGAACATCCTGATCACCGGTGAGGAACTAAATAGATTCCCTCAGGTACCTAACCTCTTCATGGGTTCTCATGGGGGAGTTAAGGAGCTGATGGCTGGGATGAGGGACAGGGATCTTATCCAGAAACAGATGCAGAGGCAGGAGAACAGGGGAGGGGCTAAGTCAGAGAAAAGAGACAGAGTCCCTGGTGCTCAGGGCAGACACAGGTGAGGTGTCAGCTCAGAACATTGAAGGCAGCATCTCACCATCCCTCTTCTCTTTAGGACAGCGTTCCTTCAGTCCTTCCCTCTCAGTGAAGCCTAACTCCACAGTACACCCTGGAGACAACGTGACCCTGCTGTGTCAGTCAACATACAAAGTGGACACTTTCATTCTGTCCAAGGAGGGAGCAGCCCACCAACCCCAGCGACTAAAATCCAAGTCTGAAGCTTCGGACTTCCAGGCAGAATTCTCCATGAGTGCTGTGACCTCTGACCACTCGGGCACCTACAGGTGCTATGGATCTCAAGACTCATCTCCCTACCTGCTGACACAAGCCAGTGAACCTGTGGAGCTCACGGTCTCAGGTGAGGTGACCCTGAACTCTCAGGATGACTTACAATCTAAACCCTAGGAGAGCCCTTTACTTCGATGGGATTAAGGGGACAACAGGAAGGTTAGTCAGAAGGCACTTTCCCTGCCAGAGAAGTGGATGTCAGCAGCTGTCTTTCTCGTAATGTCCACTCCATCCTCTATTGCAGTCTAGGTGTGAGTCACACAGCACGAGCATCTTGGAGAGGTTACAGGATACGGGTAAGACAGTGAGCAGAGACAGATCCCTAGGTTGGCATCTAACCCTCACCCCCTCTTGTTCTGTTTCCTAGGATCCATTGGAACCTCAACCACACCACCCTCAAAGTTCATGCCAACAGCTGGTGAGTATCAGGCACCTCAGTGCAGGGAGTATCCTCCACCCCCAGGCTGCCTGGCATCTCTTAGCCCACTGAAGTCCTCATTTCTCTGTCACTTTAGCTTGTGAGTGCAGGAGGCAAACAGAGATCCCAACAGAGACCCCAGAGACCCAGGACTTAGGGGTTTGGATACAGAAAGGTGGTATCCAGAAAGTTCTGGCTTAGTCTGAAGGATGGAGCAGGTGGATGAGGTGGAGAGCAGAGGTCACAGACATTTGCCTCCCCATCCTGCCTCTAACGCCCTGAGAACAAACCTCTCTCAACTGCATGGAGTCAGGTCCCAGAGGGATAATAAGGACTCTGTTGAAAGGTGGGACCTAGATGGGCAATAGCTAGTTATGGGTTCCATACAGCTGCTTCAGGAGATGCTGACTTGGACCAGTCTTTCTCTCTCTGGATTTGGCTGAGTAAAAGGGGAGAAGCCTGGCCCACGTGTCTAAATTTCTTTCAGGGCTGGCATTGGCTATGACCTCTCCTGACAGAGAAGTCCCCCAGAACCTGATTCTGTAGTGGGTCTGTCCCACAGTGGTGGGGACCTGTGCAAGGGTGGGGCAGAGGGCCAGGGCAGGCCATTCAGGCTCCTCCCCTCCAGTTAGGAGGCTCAGCTCAGGTGGAGAGGAAAGAGCTGTAAGTAAGAATCCCTGGGTTCAATTCCCAGCTCTGCCACTTCCAGTCAGGTGATCTGAGGCTGGTGAACTGTGGGG